GATCGATTATGCAGATAGAGTATCAAATTTGAATTTCTTCCTTTACATTGATATACAATCAGAGAATATGGAAAAGACACTCAACTATTTCATACCCGCGTTTAAGAAAAATATATGCATGGTATTCCTTCCGATTTTCACAATGAAGTAATGGTTAAGGAATTCATTGGAGATAGTGTTGGTCACCAAAACTATTTTGAAGAGATGAAAGTCAAAACTAAAATTAAAAATTATATGTCAAAATTAAATCAAAAATCAATAGTCAAAAATCAATAGTCAAAAATCAAAACTAGTTGAAATAATCAAAATTAATTTGTTACACTAAATCTAATTCTCGTGTTCTTTCATTTTTTATTTTTTTTTTTTATTTGTTTGGGAAAAAAGCACATAACCCTCGTTTCAACGGAGTGGCTAGACATATTAATATATAAAAATTTCATTTAAAATCCGCTGAAGCAAGGGTTATTCTGTATTAGTATTCAAATCATTGCCCGTTATAATGAGTTGATTGACAAATAAATCGTTTAAATTTATATAATATTAATATCAACATAGTGATTGTGAATCAATTGAAGATTACCGAAAATTTATATATATTATATAATTAATGATGATTTAAAAAAAATAAAAAAAAAAATTCTATACATTAATTGAAAATGCAAATAACATCAATGATAAATTGATATTATGGCATGAATGCGAAAGGAAATGAAGAAATATACACATTTCTTCTTTAATGCAAAATAATTAGATGGATTCCATTTAATAATATACAAATACATAATAATAAAAAATAATTAACCTAAAGCTATTCTATTTGTTTAATGATTAATCTAGCTAGATCCGTAAAAAATCATTATTAAAAAATAATGTCCTACGTAAGTGATGATACAACAAAAAATTAATTACTTCTTTACGATATCTGATACATTCAAACAAGGTGTTGATGGGTCAGCGCAAAGGTCTCCAAAAATTTTTACCCACGATAGTCTTGAATTACTTAGCAAAACCAATAAAAGTAGCGTAAATGCTACAAATGCACCAGAAATCCAAAAGTATCAACGAGCTAGAAACCGGATATTTTTGCCACGTATTCTTATAATTTTGAATAATAGTGAAATCACATTATTTAGTGTCCATGCCTCACATAACACGGTCAGAAAATCTAAGTTAAAACGATATAATTCTACTTGAATGAATCTTTACATGTATTTATTATATTGTAGAAAAATGGTTAGTTTGAATTATAATTTGGAATAAATTCATTACAATTATTTATATTCCATTTGTATAAAATTTTTAAAAGACTATTTGGATCAAACAATCAATTTGAATGTTAGAATTATCAAATTTATTAGCAAGTAATTCAATATCTTTATAGTTCGATTTTTACTTCATGGTCCTATTTGAATAATTTGGGATTTCTATTTGAATAAGGGTTTATATTGAACGGATAATTCGAATATGGAATATGATTTCCATTCATTAGACTTAAATCAGTAAACTTGAATTTATAATTAACAAAAAGAAACCATTGTTTTTTTCTATAACTGAGATTGTTCAGTTATTATTATTAACGCAAATAACACAAACTTGATTATTATTATTTCTAAACCGGGTTGCCATTTACAGATTTGAATCATATGACACAATATTTATTATAGTGAATTTTTCTTTGTTTTCATGTTATTTTCTTGGCGTAGATCTCATCTGACACCAAAATTGGCGTGTTATCAATAACAATATTTTTGTTTATGGGTGCGTAACAATCATTTTTTTGTGGTCTGGTAACAATTCTTTAATCAACATAATTGTGTATAACTTAAATTATTGACAATAAGATTTCAACAGAGGATACACAGTGAGCCTTTCATACATTCAAGAGATTTTTGTGAGAACAAAAAAATTCGAGTTTTATCATAAAAAATTGATGTTAATTCAAATTCCAGTAAAGCACTAATTAGTAAAAACTCATTTATTTTTTAATTTATCAATCTTGCATGAAAACTAATCCTCGGATCTTTTATTGCTGATTTTTTATTAGGCAAATTGGCACTTTGTTTTTGTCCTTCTGTATGCTGGTATGGATGAATGAACTCATCCGTTAATTATTATATTTTTTTATTATCACCATTTTTTTTATTATACACGAATCATTTATATTCAACCACTTCCATTATTTCATTAATTATATACATTCATCAAGAAAGGTAAGGGATATTACTGAAGTTCTCCATCTTTCAGCTATCTATTTCTCAAATGAGATTAGGCTTTGGACCTTTAATATTAAATTTATTAAATTTGTGAACAATTTCCTTTTTATATGTAATTTTTATTATTATTCATGTAACAATCATTAATCAATAAATAAAAAACCCCAAATAAATGAGCTCTTTGCTCAATGAATAGATAATAATATCAATATAATTATATGGGCAAAGCTTTTTATTTTTGACATGTTATATGCTAAAATGGGTAAAGGTAAGTTATTAATAATTTTAAAAAAAAGCATAGCAAAAAAACGATAATTAATTCAATTGTTAATTAAATATTAATCAGAATTGTCAAACGATGCTTTTCTTAAATGTAGATTAAACAAAATTTATTCATACTAATTTTTTCCTATACCATTTCAATATCATTATCACACTAACTAAATACTAAAAAAATAAATCAAACATCGCTCGGAAAAAGTTTTATTGCTGCACGATAAACAGTTTATCACGTGGAAAAAGGACATAGAAATAAGAAAAATAACGAAGACAAAAAATTTCTTCCCAAAAAATTAGGCTTGAAAAAACAGAGTTTTTACTAGTTGCACATATCCTATCCGCTCTTCCCCTATGATCTCTGCGAAGAAGAGAAAAGATGTTATTGTTTACAACAAGTTGAAACCCGAGAATTTCTAAAAAGAGTTATTTTCAAAAAAGAATAGTACCGATTTCAACCAGGGCTGACCGCGTAACTCAAATGAGCAATTGGTCAGTGAAATCTTTCCGAAAAACCAATTATTTTGCATCTATTGTAGCAAAGTAATAATAAAGTTTGTCCCCATCGAGCTTTGTTTTTTTAATACGTGTATTGGAATATGTATGGTCTATGACGTGAAGAATTTTCTCAGCCTTGTGATTTTGCAACAAACGCTGGATCACTACGTGTTTAATTTATTTATGCAAATCCTCTTATACATCATCATCATTGTATAATAATTAATCTGATATCAAATAAATTCGTGAGAATTTTTTTTTCGTCCCTTAAATTTTTTTAAATGCATGGATATCTTGTATCGTCACGCTCATCAGTACCAGCACTCAAGGCCAGATTTCAACTTAACCAAAAAGTCCTTGGCTTGGCTAAGAAGTAACTATTTGCACTACAAAAGAGAGAAGATACGAAAGTAGTGGTTACGAAAGAGAAGGCTCCAGAAGAAGAAGAGGAAGTCATGAATAAACTGGAAAGCGGAATCGTTGTTGTTGAAAATGTTTCATTCAAAGCATCGCAAACGAGAGACAGAGCTTACAGTTGATATGTATTAATTTGGTGGAAAGTTATAATCTATGGGGTAGTGATGTTAGCCAGTAGAATAATCTTAGCCAGTTAAGCCAAACAACTTTTAGCCGGTCAAGGATTTAAATAACTCCCAGTTAATGAAAATGCTTTTCAGATGGTACTAAGCTTGCCGCTATTATTACTACTACTATCGTTATTATTACTATAACTATTATTACTATTATTTATTATTGTTATTATAATATCTCGTCTTCATTGGTTCGAATAAGGTTTATTTGAATTATTTGTTTCATTCGTTATGAATTTGAGTATTCGAATTACATTCAAATAAAGAAATAAAACGAATAATATAATTCGAGTTAAAATAATTATGAATAGGACTCTATTGATTTTTATCCTGCAATGATGTATTGTATTTTGTTTTTTGAGAAAATTTATGTTTTTTTGTCATTCTAAGTAATGCATGTGGTCCCATCTCAACTAAATGTCTATGACACTGTATTCTACACTAAAATTCTAGATGTAAAAATGAATGTTAAGAGAAAAAAAATTTTTTTTTTGGCAACTAACATCACTACTGTGACGCATAGCTCATTTGAAAAAGAACACTGAAATTCATCTGCCTTCAAAAATAACAATTTCAACTTTTGAGTTAACAAATCAATCATCTGACAAACCTCGGATCGAGAACAAGTTATGACTTGATGAATTATAATTCAAACCATCCGCTGATGAACCCTTATTCAATCTGATCTACCCAATCCTTTTATTGCCATCAATTATTTCATTTCCCCATAATAATAATTGGTGACAATTTGCAACGCTGAAATAAACAAGTTTGTTACACTAAATTTAATTCTCGTGTTACACTAATTTTTTATTTTTTATTTATTTGTTTGGGAAAAAAGTACAGTATGACCCTCGACTGGACATATTAATTAATATTAATATGGAAATTTCATTTAAAATCAGTTGAAACGGATTTACTAATACAGGATGTCAACCTCTGTGTAATAATCAAATCAAAATTGGTTACACGTGTGTAAAGTAAATATTTCAAGTCTTCTTCTATCTTATTATTAATATTCTAGATAAACATGGCCTAAATTTTTCACCAACTAGAATCTTTATAATATAGATATACGTGCATGGACAGAGGTCCTCAGACCTCCATATTTATGGTGGACATCCCATAATAATAATGTGTGCGAATTTAATTATAATCCGTTGAAACAAGGTATTAGTATTCAAATCAATACCCATCATTATAATATTAATATTATCGTAGAGATTGTGAATCAATTGAAAATTTATATTATTATATAATTAATGTGGTTCATTGATGATTTAAAAAGAATAAAGAAAAAATAAATTAGTTGAAAATGCAAAAGGAAATGAAGAAATGTACACATTTTTTCTTGAATACAAAATAATTAGGTGGATTCCATTAGTAATATACAAATACATAAAAAAAAAAAATAATTAAACTATTTGTTTAATGATTAATCTAGCTAGATTCTGAAAAAAAAAAAAACAATATATATAAATAAATAAAAAAAATTAATGTTCTACGTAAGTGATGATGCAACAGAAAATTAATTACTGGTTTATAATATCTGTTATGCTCAAACAAGGTGTTTTTGGGTCAGCGCAAGTGTCTCCAAAAATTTTTACCCACAATGGTCTTGAATTACTTAGCACAATTAAGAAAAGTAGCATAAATACTACAAATGCACCAGAAATCCAAAAGTAACAATGAACTAGGAATCGGATATTTTTGCCACGTATTCTTGTAATATTGAATAAAAGTGAAATCACATTATTTAGTGTCCACACCCCACACAACACGGTCAGAAATTTACTCCTACATCCATACCCGACTGGGTTTGTGAAATAGGCCAGAAGTACTGCCAGCCAAGGAGCTATCATTGCGAATAAACCAGTCTCAATTATGTTATGTCTTCTATCCTTTGTTGAATTAGTTACTATTATTTGTCCATCAATCCTTTCGTTAGGATCGTGGACCACCACACTCCCTCCTATCACCCTCTTAAAAATTGCTGGTAGAGTCCAAGCCAATGCTAGTGGTATATATGGCCATTCCTCTTTGATACATGGTCCGACTGCCCTGATTATACCTGCAAGTATCCCTACTATTATGTAGTAAATGGATACCATGTAACTGAGGCGATCTAATATTGATGCTCCAGCTACACATCCTTTCATAGATTCTTCCTGTTTCGGGGTGAGCTCCATTTGTTTAGTATGCCATCCAAAAAGCCTGTAGTTGAGTATTGTAACACCATTCTTTACCTGTCTATTAGTTTCATAAAAATGTTCATATTCGAGCCAATATGTGCTCATTATGATCGCATCGTTCTTTACATTGCAGTAGTAATAGAGGCCCTCTATAGGGGCCCCTAAACACAGAAATATCCATCGAATTTTCTCTCTAAAACCACCCACCGGTGTGGCCCCTAAGATCGCTATAGCAGATAAGGAACCTAAAACATACTGAGGTACCGAAATTAGCAATGACTGTACAAATCTAACCATTTGTTTAACAACTTCTTCTGACATTTCTATGATAAAGAAAAACAAAAAAATTAGCCTCCAAATAACAAAATTATTTTATAAATATAAGTTAGATTACATACTTTAAAAAATTTTTATTTCAATTTTACAATATTATAACTCACGAAAATAAAATGCTTAGCATTCAAACAATTAAAAGTTGTTGAAACGATATAATTCTACTTGAATGAATTTTTACGTGTATTTATTTATATTCCATTTGCACAAAATTTTAAACTTAAAAATGGTTACATAATTTATTCGAATTACAATTTTGGAAAGTGTGGTTAAATGTTTTGAAATAAATTCCCTTATTTATACTTCCATTTGTATAAAATTTTAAAAGATGATTCAAGCAATCAATTTGAATGTTAGAATTATCAAACTAATCAAATTATCAAACAAATAATTCAAATATCTCTATCCAAACAATCTTACTAAAAAAGGAGTTCGATTTTTTACTTCCTGGTCCTATTTGAATAAGGGTTTGTTCAAACTATATTGAATACGAATTCTATCCATTAGACTTCTAAATTAGTAAACTTGGATTTATAATTAACAAAAAAAGCTATTATTTTTTTTCTATAACTGAACAAAAACAATTGTTTGTTTGTTTATTATTATTAACGCAAAATAAAAACATGGAAAGTTTGTTGGGCGACTCACATAATTTATTACTTCTACATCTGGTTAAGCCATTTACAGATTTGAAACAATATAATAGGTTCATACACATTATTATTAGTGTTTTGAATTTTGTTTTCATGTTTTTGCATAAAAAGCCGTATGATATTTTTCTCATTTTGTTGATATGTAGGAATTAAGTTCCAAACCTGTACAAGTTTTGTTATGTTGACTCCAAAATTGACGTGTTATATAAAATGAATGAATTGGAAGAATTAGGAATTTGAAAATTTTTTTATCAATAACAATATATTTTTTTTTATGGATGCGTAACAATTCTTTAATCAACAAAATTGTGTATAACTTAAATCAATGTTGTGTTCGTGTAACAATTTGTAATGCGGACGTGTCCGCTCATTTTCTTAAATGTCTCGGACCATTAATATGTCCGGGACTAGTAGTACAAACCACAAGTTAAACGTGAGAAAATGCCTTCACAACCTTTATTAACTCAACATATTATTAAAATCAATATAAAACAGCCAAAGCAATTCAAAAACTTTTTTAAAGAAAAATTAGGAGAGGAGGAAGGGAAGAAAAAATGGTTTACAAACAAAAAGGACTGAATAATTCGGCATTTAAAAAAATGTCCTAATTTTTGAAAAAACTAATTTTTGAGCTGCAACAAAGCAAAAAAATATCATCAATATCTGCAATCCAGATCAATAATAGTGTGTAATAGTAATGTTTGTTTAATTCGTGATACGTGATAGAAGTAGATAAAAACCTATATGTCGATCCCAGTGTTGCGACCCGAAACTCTGAGTTTAGGGAAAACCCGAAACAGAAACTAACAGAAACCACCCGAAACTAGTTTAGGTTAGTAGTTTATGTTTAGGTTTATGTTTAGGTTTAGTTTTCTGCTTAGTGTAAGTTCATTTTCCGAAACGTTTCGGGAAGCCAAAAGAGTTTCTGGTCACAACATTGGTCAATCCGAGGCAAAAATCAACGAATTGAAATACTTCTCTCCAATATAATATGACAAAAATATTCCGCAAACAAAAATGATATGATTTTTAGATATCAAATTTTTACTATCGGATTTGGTGTAATTTGTGATACAAATTTAGGACTGATCTATTGTTTCTAATATTAACCCCGATCATTTACTTCTACAAAAGTATCCGGACACCTATTTTTACTAATTATACAAAAACGCACATAATAACTGCACATAAAATTTTATCAAAACATAGCTTAGGTTTTGGTGAATATGATGTAAATTTTGATGCTCTCAAAATATCTAGAAAAATTAATTAAAATAATCCGAAATTCGACGAAAATCGCGATATCAATTTTTGTTTCACAAATTTACTCAAAATCCTACATAATAATAAAAATAAAAATTTATATCGATTTATAACTTCGGATACAAGCTCTAGTGAATACTAAAATTATATTTTAGATTAACCAGAATATGAATACAAAATTTTGTAATTTTGGCTAGCATAGATAATTAATAATAAAATTAAAAAAAATGGCAATTAAAATTGGATTTATAAAAATCAAGATTGACAATTTTTTTTTAATCTTAAAAACGTAAAAATGCAAAACAACGAAGAGGAAAAATTTTGTGCCTTCATGAAGGTACCTAATTGACCCTTGCAATCCTCTGATCTTAATCCAATTGAACATCTTTGGAGTGAACTAGGGAGACGATTAGATAAGTGAACACAATACCCAAAAAATGCCAACGAGTTTGAAGCTGCTTTACAAGAAGTGTAGTCAACGAACTTCATATGAAACTTACTACAAATTAATAGAAAACATGCCTAGAAGGATCGAGACATGCATTTCTAGCGATGGATGGCCAACTCGATGTTAATATTAAGTTTTATTTTAATTTATATTTTGAACACACAAAATAAATATTTTGTTGATCATCATCATTTTCGTCGAGTTTCGGATTTTTTTAATTAAAATTTTTTTAGAGTATCAAAATTTACATACATATTCAAAGCTACATTTTGATAAAGTTTTATGTGTAGTTATTATGCGCGTTTTTGTATAATTAGTAAAAACAGGTGTCCGGATACTTTTGTCCAGGGAGTGTACATATGATGAAACTAACCTAAAATATTATAATTATTTTTCTTGACCAGTAGATTGATTTGGAGTTGAATTGGAAAGAAAAGGATTAAAGTGAAATTGCTGAAAAGTTAGTCACGCATTTCGTCATGGACGCGACCTCACAATGAAACATTATTTGATGTAACGTATATAGATAGATATAAATTATAATCAAATATCTACTGCCTTATACGAATCCATATCCTTTTAATGAACAACCAGATCATACGACGCCACGGTCCGAATATAGAGTGTTGAAATCAGATGCACCTAGTATTCCAACAAATATACAACTGAAAAAGGATAAGCAATCTAACCTGATTCGGCAAACAAAAAAAGCACAAACAACGAAATCTTGCCCGCAAAGACGACGCATGCAATTTGTGTCGTATAGCACATCTAAGATGTGAAATGAAAGATAATTCTGCTTTTTATGTTAGGTGTATTAATTAAAAAAAAAAGGATAGTATTTTAATAAATGCCTGAAAAAATAAGGTTGCAAACTTGGTAGCAGAAACAAACTAAAGGTAAAAAAATATTTTTTCTCAATATCCTTTCTTTGTTTCAAATAATTATTTATTTCCTTGATTAATAGATTGCTAATAATAAACAATGTTGATCTGAATTAATTACGATAGTATTGATAGAAGTATTAGCAATAATAAAAATAAGAATAGCAAATAAACTCATAATTACCAAATTACTCATGTCCAGATACATATCCAACAAATTCACAACCTCAAAAAGATAAGAATCGCAAAGACAACACGCTTTTATCGTATGCCATTCGTGTCGTAAAGCACATCAAAGGTGTAGAAAGAAATAGGGCTCTGATTTTTGCGTTAGACGCATTGATGAAAAAAAAAGGATTGGGATTGTAACGTAATTTTGCTTATTGTTATTGTTAAGATCCTTATTTTGTTTTTCTTTTGTTAGGTCTTCATTATTAGGGATGTTAATATTAATATTTTTGATTTTGGTTTTTTTAACTTTTTGTAAACGTGTTTGATTGTTTAAGTGTAAATATATGGTGAAGACTCATTGGAAAAATTATTAAACGTTAACAGTTATTACTGATCGGCCGTCTATACAAAGAGCTAACAGTTATCGTTATCACATATTGTATTGTGTTAAAGTAATTGTTAATCGGCCAATGAAAAGCAAAAACTAAAGTAATAACATAGGAACTCTATAGGAACCTTTGTTGCTTTGTAAAAGGGACATCTTTATTTATTATAATTCGTTGTTATTTGTACGATAAATTGTGCTTACAAATTTACCAAAGCTTTCTAGGTACAAGAAAGAGGCAATAAGCAGGATAAATTTAAATTCGTAAAATAACTTATTTGACGAGCATTGTATATATAAAAGTTTGCAATTAATCGACGAGTGTAGCTAAAAAGTTAACTCGAAATCGACTATAAGTCCAGTCTGGACTGGTCCCAAGATAGGACTCCCAGTACCAGGACCAGAGCGGATGGTCAAGGACCGATTAACATCTCTAGTCATTATATTTTCCCAATCGATAACATTGTTATTCCTTTCATTTGATATCTGAAAAAAGTCTAAATGTTAAAAAAATAAATTTTTTCTTTTTGAACGTGTTTTCAATAGTATTAAACTTTTGTTCAATAGATTATTCATTAAAACATCATAATAAGATAGAGTTGAGTTGATTGATATTTGTTATCAATAACGTTTTTATATAGTAATTATGTTAATTTTTTACTTTTTATGGTTTTTTCAAAAAATGTAAGATTTTTTTAGCATATTTTAGATTTACATATAGTGCAAATCACTTAGTCCCACAACTTTTTATTGGTCATATAGATCTTCAAATTCTCCAAAAATGGAAAAGTAA